CTTAGGAACGCAACCATTGTTCTGAAATCCTCTTATTGATGAGAATTATTTCTAGCACCTACCTGAAATGATAATCTGATTACTACTCAGACGCTTCAAAGGCGGTGGAAAAGGCAACTGGCCCATTAGCTAGCTAGTCACTCCTAGAATCAAATGAAAGATGAAGGGCTTTAAGAACCGCAACCAAAAATGCTTTAAAAACCCTCGGAACGGCATTATTATGTTCCCGATTCCGGCACGTTTGGGCAAAAGTTCTACCAATACGAGAGGAAAGATGGCTTAACTAACATTTGCTATACATATTGTCAGCAGTTGAAACTCTGGCTGGTGATTTGTTTTGTTTGTTTGAATCCTAAAATTTTCTGAAATTTTACAGACATGCGAACTTTTGAAATAAAATTACTGTCTTTTCAATATTTTGTTATCGTTAGAAGGCCTGATTTTTCTGCTTCACAAAAATTTATAATTTTCTTAAATTATTTTTAAATTGCTTCTTATAAATTGCACTTTGTTGAAGAGTGTACAATCGACTAGCCAAAAAAAATTGATAAACACTTCAAGCAATCAGAGGGCTTCAAACTTTCAGGATTTACTGAGTAGAGTCTTTTTATCGAAGGAAACAAACCGCGACTGAATATCAGGCTCGAAAATAGAATTATGTTTTTTTTTCCACTTTAATGCAAAGATATCTTGTGAAATTTCTAATAAATCGCATTTGGAAGCTTCTGAAAAATACTTCAAGCAATCAGATGGCCTCCAGACTTTCAGAATTTATTGAGTAGGGTTTTTTTATCAAACAGAATAAGCTGCGAGTAGATCTCAGGCTCAGGAATGGAATTATGAATTTTTTCTCACTTAGATGCAAAAAATTCATGTGAAATTTCTAAAAAAATCACCTTTGGAAGCTTCTGAAAAATACTTCAAGCAATCAGAGGGACTCCAAACATTCAGGATTTATCGAGTAGAGTCTTTTGATCAAACATAACAAAGTGCGAATGGATTGCATGCCCGAAAATGGGATTATCAATTTTTTCTCACTAAATGCAAAAATATTTTGTAAAATTTCTATCAAATCACTTTTGGAAGCCTCTGAGAAATACTTCAAGCATATTCGAATATTCGAATAGTCGAATATTCGAATAGTCGAATAGTCAAATTTGCTAACTAACAAAAAAGTCGAACTTAGAATAGTCGAATAGTCAAATATTCGGCGAATTAATCGATGTAACAATTCCGACTCCTTCTCCAAACCTTCAGAATTTATTGATTAGTGCTTTTTTTGTCAAACAAAACAAACCGCGTGTGAATCTTGAGCTCAGAAATGGAATAATGATTTTTTTTCTCACTTGGATGCAAAAAATTTATCAAAAATTTTATTAAATCCACCTTTGGAAGCTTCTCAAAAATACTTCAAGCAATCAGAGAGACTCCAAACTTTCAGGATTTATTGGGTAGTGTTTTTTTCATCAAACAGAACAAGCCGCGAGTAGATATCAGGCTTAGAAATTAAATCATGCATTTTTTCTCCCTTAGATGCAGGAAATCATGTAAGATTTCTATAAAATCACCTTTGGAAGCTTCTGAAAAATACTGCAAGCAATCAGAGAGACTCCAAACTTTCAGGATTTATCGAGTAGGGCTTTTTTATCAAACAAAACAAACCGCGAGTGGATCTGAGACTTAGAAATGAAATTATGAATTTTTTCTCACTTAGATGCAAAAAATTCATGTAAAATTTTTGAAAAATCACCTTTGGAAGCTTCTGAAAAATACTTCAAGCAATCAGAGGGACTCCAAACATTCAGAATTTATCGAGTAGAGTCTTTTGATCAAACATAACAAACTGCGAATGGATCTCAGGCTCGAAAATGGGATTATGAATTTTTTCTCACTTAATCCAAAAATATTTTGTAAAATTTCTATCAAATCACTTTTGGAAGCCTCTGAGAAATACTTCAAGCATTCAGAGGGACTCCATACCTTCAGAATTTATTGAATAGGGCTTTTTTGTGAAACAAAATAAACCGCGTGTGGATTTTAAGCTCAGAAATGGAATTATGATTTTTTACTCACTTGGATGCAAAAAATTCATCAAAAATTTTATTAAATCCACCTTCGGAAGCTTCTGAAAAATACTTCAAGCAATCAGAGGGACTCCAAACTTTCAGGATTTAGTGGGTAGTGTTTTTTTCATCAAACAGAATAAGCCGCGAGTGGATCTCAGGCTTAGAAATTAAATTATGCATTTTTTCTCCCTTAGATGCAGAAAATCATGTAAGATTTCCATAAAATCATCTTTGGGAGCCCATGAAAAATACTGCAAGCAATCAGACTCCAAACTTTCAGGATTTATCGAGTAGGGCTTTTATATCAAACAAAACAAACCGCGAGTGGATCTGAGACTTAGAAATGATATTATGAATTTTTTCTCACTTAGATGCAAAAATACCATATACCTAAATTGCCTAAAGTTCGTTCATAAAGTCGTGATCTGAGATTTTGGACGCTGATTGGCCAAAATTAGCGGGTCGACTTGGGCGACCAGCGCTCAATTTAAATGATCAACCCAATGCCCTAGTGAGGCCCCAAAATCTAGCCAATCAGCGTCCAAAATCACAGATCACGCTCTCGAAAAACTCATCTATAGACCTTATCAACGGACTATATTAAATTACCTTTAGAAGCTTCTGAAAGAAACATCCAAGCAATCGGAGGGACTCCAAACTTTCAAGATTTATTGAGTAGTATCTTTTTATCAAATAAAACAAAACGCGATTGGATCTCAGGCTCAAAAGTTGAATTATGATTTTTTTCTCACTCAAGTGCAATAAAATTATGTAAAATTTCTATTAAATCACCTTTGGAAGTTGCTGAAAAATCCTTCGAGCGATCAGAGGGACTTCAAATTTCCAGGAATTATTGAGTAGGGTGTTTTTATCAATTTTTGTAAAGTTGAAAAATCAGGCTTTCTGACAATGACAAAATATAAGAAGGTGTTCCATTGAAAATTAGGCAGTAATTTTATTTCAAAAAATCGTATCTCTATGCAACCAAATTTCAGCAAATTTTGGGATATCGCAATCCTGTGAAAAAAAGTCATCAGAAGGACTTCAAATTTGGATTTATCGAGTAGGATCTTTTTATCAAATTGTTCTGTTTGATAGCTAACTAGCTACTCCTTGGAACAAGTGAAAGAGGAAGGGCTTTAAGAACCGAAAACAAAAATGCTTCAAAAACCTTCCAAACAGCATTATTATGTTCCCGATTCCGGCACGTTTGGGCAAAAGTTTTACCAATAGCAGAGGGAAAATGGCTTCGAACCTTCACCATGCTGTCAGGAATACGCAATATTATAATAGGTGTAATTATAGCATGATTAGGCAAAAAATTTTCATGTGGTCAATGTGTAGTGGCCTATTGACTTGAAGTTCGCAGGTTCAAGTGTAAAATATTCTCCAATTTCAAAAGAATGTGTTATTCTAAGAATAGTAAAATGAAGGAAAAAGAAACACACAAAACCCAACCCTGGGCACATAACACATGCCTAGACTTCAGTAGACACATATATGCCCTAGAAGCCATTATGGATTTTAAAATATCGTTTTTGCCTTTGTCCGCTCCTCTCCAAAAGTTTCGCCTCGTGATATGGAACTTCTGGATTATAGGTATTCTTTCCATTCCTTTCTAATACCTACCCAAATGAAATGCAAATAATCTTGCTCTATTTAAGTATTCCCGAAACAATACTCGAACCGAACCTGCTGGACATCCAAGCTACCTTTTAAACTATTAACAAAAGCCCACAAGTTTATGGGATTAGATTCAAGACACATTTCAATATCCTTCAATTATGCAGTTGGTACGTGCTTCTTTGATTTTAGTTTTAAGTACCTAAACTAGTTTGTAGGTCATACTGAACCTAATTTTCCAGAATTGCGAGTTAAAATTGGTTAGTTTCACAAAGTATCTGTGCTTTATAAGTGAGATTATATCCCTAGTAGTAAACCAAACGTCGAATACATTTTACTTTTCTGTGTAGATTTAGGAATTGACTTTCCGAAGATATTATGTAAAACATTGTAGAAGCTGTCTGAGGCCAAGTTAACATCCGAGTCTAGAAATTGCCAATCTTTGAGACCAGAAAAAATTATACATCATTTCTTGAAGTTAAACTTATAGGTTGTAGAGCTTGCACCTGCATTAGAGCAGTATTTGTTAATAGAGACACACTTGAATAGAGATGGTGACTGCCCACTGACCACTGGCAACAAGATTTCCTCTTCCCCAGGCCACCGATATATTCTCAGAAAAAGCAACCATTAACATCCAAAATGATTTGCATTTCGAATTGATTGCATCGGCTCAAGCTATTAAGAGCCAAAAACGCCCTCTGATACTATTAAGTATTCCTACATACACTCACTTCTATCTTTTCTAGATATAATCCTGTCATTATCACAAAATTCTGACGAATAAATTGAATCATTTAACCAGGTTTCCGTTTAAGCTATAAAATCGTAATGACTACTAAGGACTGGTTTATCAGTGGACGGTTATTTAGTTTAGTTGTTGGTTAACTAATAATTATCATTGGTTAACCGAAAGCTGAACTAGATAACCATAACCGTTCACTGATAAACAAGTCCTAAGCAGACTAAGTTTAATTCGATTTCACTTTGTGCCTCTATAATTTTGATAGTACACTAATACCCTATTATCTATATTTCTTTGGTTGATAGTGGTCAATGGAACTCATATTTTATAGACTTTTTTCATTTTACTAAATTTAAAGTTTGTAATCTACGATAATTTTAATAATGTACATTGAACACAGTTTGTTTTAGGTCTACTTGGGTTCAACAAGTTTAGCATGAGCCCTATTTTATATTTGTGCAGTTACAAGCCTGTGGATAATGCCTTAATGGCATGGTTCATGTTTATTAGCTTCAATTCATTTCTAGGGTTACATTTATATGAATGGGAAATAATTTTCATTAAATTTGCATTTGTATAAAGTTTTTATTATTATAAAAAAATAGGAATAGCATAGTGTCTAAAAAAAAATGTCGTTTTATTTAAAGCTAGCATCAAAAATGGACTTTGGTTTCTCATGGACTGTTAATGGACTTCCGTAATGTTGCCACAAATCTATTGTTTTATTAACAATAATCTCTGCACTGTCTTCTGGAATCTAAAATTTTAAAAAAAACAGTTTTTTTATAAATTAGAATTTGATAGCAAAAATGGAGAATAGTTCAGTAAATTTAATCATCAACAAAAGTGGCATTGGTTCCTCTATTATGATTTATAAATATATTGTAATATTCCTGATAATAATAATTAGCTTAATAGCTATATTCAAGCTAACAATTTACAATAACAGTAAATAAATACATAGGTAGTGAAATCTATCATAATCTGCAATAAGTATCTAATTTGTGCTAAGTTACATAAATATCAAAATGCTCTTTAACGTTAATTCTATAGTCCAGACGATTTCCTATCTATCTGAAAATATGCCAGAGTGCAGTCCATCCCAAAAAAGCGCAACAAAACTTCTCCTAGCAATTATCGTCCCATCTCACATATATCTGTACTTTCGAAAGTAATGGCAAAGGCAGTCAACCAGAAATTGGTTAAGATCAACAGGGGATCTGCTGGCCAGTCATATTTGAAACTCTACTATCGAAAAACAGCAAATCCAGAATTGTAGCATTGGACCTCTCCAAGGCTTTTGATCAGGGGTGGCACAAACGTCTTCTCAGGAAGCTTCAAAACGAATTTTGCCATTGGCTGGTGAGCTTTTTGGAAGGCAGGTAACTGCATATTGTCGTCGATGGTGTATCTTCTGATACACTGCCTATAAATGCCGGCTCTCCCCAAGGCTCAATTCTGTCCCCAAGGACAAAACCTTTCCATCAATCCCTCAGCATCTCTTCTTGGAGTGAACGCATCGACCAACATGTCTTGACCTGACATGACCATGTATCTTCGACCGCCAAAACCGGTTCTCAGAAATTAAATTTTCTGTTTTGTGAAAAAGCTTCTTTAACAAGTTCTTGTCCTTTATAAATCTCGAATCAGACCATGTATGGATTACTGCTCCTACATCCGGAGGGATGCACCCAAGCATCCGTTGGCTCTATTAGATGCAGTACAAAGAAGAGCAATAAAAATGATCGATAATTCAACTCTCACGGATTCATTGCACTCTCTCAAAGATAGACGCAAGGTGGCTGATTTGTTATTCTATCGCTATTACCATGGCAGATATTCTGACAATCTGGCCAGACTTATTCCAGCTAGAAGTTATTTAGGAACCTCAAAAACCTCACAGGCATCCCATCCGTATATGGTAACGTTGGCTACCTCGAGGACCTCTAAATATAGGACTTATTTTCGTGTTCAAACAGAGGGTTAATAAGCATCATTTAATTTCTTCCGCTTAAGGTTGGCTGTTGCTTGATTGAATTTGGTAACCTATTATACACATTAGCAAGACCCTTAAGTCCTTCTGGCCATATTTTGTATTTACTGACGATATATAAACATTCTACCTACTACGAGTGTTATGCTTGTGAACATCTTTGATAAAAGTACAATTTGCCAGTATATGCTCAGGCAGACACCAATCTTTGTATTAACTTATAAATAAATATAAAGGCATTCAAAGTTACAAGCATATTAAGTATCTATATTGTGCAAAACATGGTTCTGTCTCTTCTGAAGTAGGTCAATTTCTGTGTTAGATAACATAACAATAAAGTAGAACAATAATTGAAGTTTTCCGACTTATACATACTCATTTTGTATTCTTTAAGTAGGTCAGAACAAGTTCGCCTCCATATATTTGCCTTCTTTGCAATTTTATTTGCCAAGAGCAATGCGTGCTTTGAAAAAGTCAAACTTTCATCTATAATGACCTCATTCACCTCCAAATATTTCATTTGTTTTATGTGTTCTATTGTTCCTGTGAATATCTACGTGACTATATGTATCATAACCATTAAGTTTACTTCTTATACAGAAACGTTTAGTTTTTACATTGACAAGTATTCATAGTAAGCCACTCGAAACCTACCTAGTTCTAAATTCAAACATTCACTAATTCAATTAACATAATTTCCACCACAATATAATATAATATAATATAATATGATTTGCAAATAATTAGATCTGACAATGTTGAAGTTGAGTGCTGTGTGTGCAAAATAGGTGTTAGAACTGTTCCTTGTGGTACAGTAAATAATGTTGTTTTTCTTCTTCTTCGATAGTATTTTCCTTTGTTGATTAAAAGTTAATTGAATTAAACTTCACAAATTGGTCCCAGTCCACAAGATATTCCTTTATCCAGTTTATAATGTTCAGTCCATATCCATATCTCTGCAGCTTTAAAAATATGAGCTGGCTGTAAATTGGCGCGCTTGAAGTACATAGACACTACACATTGATTCAGTGGGATTTTGTTAATTTTAATAATTTTTTAATAATTTTAATAATCTTTTTGCTTTTTAAGCTTAGTTAGTGATATTGTATTGTTCTTTTACTATATTATGCTTTCCTGATCAGTCAAAAATGTTTAGATTTAATTGTTTCCTTAATTTTTTGAATTTACCAGTTCTCAGCAAAATTTGCCAGGTAGGTATTAAAATTTCATCTAGTGTATGCAGAAATCTACTTGCTTTGTCTCCAGTCTAGATTCTGTAATAATTCCAGCCATAGAACTGACTCTCTTTTGAAAAGAATAGCCTATTTTATCATATAAGTCTGAATTTTTGCCACTGGCTAGTTATACAAATGACTGATGGGCATAGGATATTTCGCTTGTTGAAGAGTGAGAAGGGCATTTGGGAATTTTTTTCCAACACGAAAATCAGTTCAAACACTTTCAGCATACAAGGGATTTACTTCTAAGGGTTAAGAGAAGCCCCAGAAATTGTTATATAATTTGATTCTTTTGGAATATTGATTTTTTTTTTTTTTTTGTTCAAAGGAATTGCAACATAATATTAGATCGTTAATTACTATTTGAGCCATTACAGAAAAACCTGTACCTCACAAACCTAGAATTTACATTTTTACTTAGCTAAAAACATATGGCTATTATATCATGGAAGTGTGTGTTACACAGTGTTACAATATCTTGCCCTGTATAGGTAGGTAGTATTATACTTACATTTTTCAAGATATCGATTACTCCTGAAGCGTTGTTCATTTTAATAATCCTGTGTTTTAAGCTCAGTAATGTGATGGTAACTAAGAAGGCAAGTATTTTGTGTGAACCTCCACATATTTTATCCCAAATCCTGAAAAAATAGGGACCATATTAATTGGAGTTGAGGTCAAATTATGTAAAATTGTATGAAATTGTGTTGCATCATTTATTAACAAGGTAAGGTTCGTTTCAACAGGGTTCATACTTTTGACATCGAACAAGCCATAACTTGGAAAAAAAGGGTTGTCGTAGATTAATTCATATGACATATTAAATTTTTTTGACAAATTACAATGAATGACTTCTGGTTTAAGAACCAACAAATGTTTTTGACGTCATTGATTTGTTTCAGACAATTTCCATTTGTTAAAAAAGGAAGGCAAAAAGTATGAACCCTGGTGGAACAATGTCTACCTAGCTTATACTTTTATTAGTTGTTATGTAATGCTGTTATGGTATGTAAATAACCTAGCAGATTTAAAAAAAAAAATGACTGGCAATGTAAAATAGTTTTAGAAGAAACTGGTTGAAATATCTTGCATTTTTTCCCTATGTATCGAGATGCTCTGATGAGGACCTTATATTTTATGAAAGGGCTGAATGGGTTCGTTGGCTTGACTATAGACTATCAGTGTCATATATCCAGATTTTTTCCACTACTACCGCTACTATGATATTCAGTAATCCAATGATTTTATTTTAGTACCGTAGAATTATACCGATTTAGAAAAATAATAAAGTCGATCAAAGAGGAAAGATCTCAAAGAAAGATATATTGAGAAACAATAGGAAAATTTCATATTAAAGAATATGGTAAAATTGATACAAATAGACTGCCATTGATCAATGGTTTTGGAATTGTTGCTTTATTTTTATCCATTATCTGAATATTTTGTTATTTTTTTATGCCAACAGAAACTTCTTTTTATTTGCATGCGAGTTTTCATTACATCCCTCTGCAGTAATATCACTTTTTCAGCCATCATGGAGATTAATGCTTAGAAAATTTGGACCAGAAACTGATAAAGAAACCAAAGACATTCTTGAACATGCTTGTATATTTTCGAGGGCAAAGCAAATTTAAAAATATAGCGACATTTTTCAACATATTGCTCACTGGTTGTTTTGTAGATTTTCCATTTCCAAGCCCCAGCCAGAAGATAAAATTTTGTATGACAGTCAAATCATAAAAGATTAATTACTATGATTATCACACTTGGCTAATGCCTCCTTTGATGGCATTGATTGATGGCAATTACGATAATCATCATCTTCATGACACAAATAGGTACCTATTTTGCTTTCTCTCATAAACTTGATGTTCTTTTAAAGAAGCTACATTACTGCTAAAACTTACTTTATAATACAATTTTCATCAATTATTCCGGCCAAACAGCATTGAAACCACTTAGATAAAGGCAAACCATCAATAATTCCATTATTTTTAAGAATCTTATAATACTCTGCATCTTCTTTCTCGATCAAACAATGAGTAACTTCAATCAGCCTCGGAATATCATTTTTCATTTTAGCAATTTTTTCATAAAACTTCTTCGCAATCCAATAGATGTCAGTATCATCATCAAAAAAATAGTTGAGACATTTAGCTATAGGAACAAAACCAAATAAATCCCGTTCTTGTAAGTTACTATAATCAAATGTCAAATTGTTTGTTTGCAACAGCCACATGACCAGGAATACTTGAGATTTTGGTGTCCTTTCATCAACTATTTTCATAAACACTAATGCCTGAAGAAGGTTGTTGAATTCTTGTTTTCGTTGACTTGTAACAAATTCATGACACTGAACTTTTGTAGGCAGAATTCCTAAAAAAAATAATTTTTATATAATCTGTCAAAAATATGACCTGCATTTTGCATGGTAAATTGAATATCTTATCGAGAAGGTCTAGGAAGGCCGTAATAGGCAGATTAAGTGGGAAACTTAAGAAAAATTCTCTATGCAAGTTTTACTCTTAGCTTTACTGTATTTCGTGATTTAATAAAAATATACCTCTCTACGAACTATCTACTCCTAAACACTAAAGAAAAACCCAAGAAATAACATTCTCCTCAACACAGTTAGATGCCCAGACCAAACAGTAAACTTGTTGGGCAGGCCACTTTCACATTTTTCAAAAACATTTTTACATTATTGTGGTAGTCATTAATAACATCTACTTTTTTTCCAAAAAAAAACCTATTTGAAAATCGAATTTTTGAACTGCTGCGAAAATGCGTGCTCGGTAAGTGACGCCACTTTCCGGAAAATGCGAGGATGCCGAATTGCTGCTCATCAGTAAAACATCACACAACTCACTACCTAGAAACTATTTTCTTTATAAAAAAATAAAGGATAGGTATAATTTCACTATGTTTGTTTATTAATTTTTTTAATAATCTGACTAAAATTGTGCGAAATATTGTTCATTCTCGATTGCATCCATGTAGCTGCGTCAAAAAATATCATATTAGCGAGGGGTAAACCTCGGTGGAATTATGGTGTACCTACAACTTTGTGGAATTGTTGGAATTTTCACTGGAATTGCTGGAATTGCCGCAGGAATTATGGGAACTATTGGGAATTGTAACTGAAATTGTCTGGAATTGTTCGGAATTGTCTGGAATAGTTGGAATTGATTGGAATTAAAACTGGAATTGCTTGGAATTGTTACTGGATTATCGGAATTTTTTAGTAGTTCTGGGGTCGTATTTTCGAATTCATTCAAGTAGGTGCATTTCGTACACGAAATTCGACTGACAGCAATGTAAATTAAATGGGGAGCATTCGAAATCGTATCAAATTTCGTATGCGAGAATATTCGAAAATATAACCCCTGAACCTTTCACTCGCTTTTCGAACGGCTGGATGGTACACTGTATACCGCTCGGTGTTTTCGTGAACGCACCCTTATGCAGGGCACGCGCTCACTTGCAGCAAGTCATATCTATCAATTCTTTCGATTGGCGGCATTGGCGCGGCGCTCGGTAAATCCCCCGAGTTTGTGAATTGTGTACAACTGGCGTTTAAATTACGAAATTCTCGCAAAATATTAGTGCAATTTTGTTGTCAATCCCTGGTATGTATATATTTATCATATCTAATTTATAAAGATTCAATAATCGGGGCTCGTATTTTGTATACACCTACACACACGCATTTTCGCGCTACTGCCACCTAGAAAAAACGAATTACTTTATTATTTTACGAGTTAGTAGCGCCCATTTCAAAAATCTGGTGAATGCTATAGTTGAGACTCTATATAGTTAAGATAAATTTAATTATAGAACATGAAGATTACTGGACATGAGACATGACAATGATACTAGTTATGATATGTAATCGTGATTTATCAGCGGTTTTTTCATCAAGCAACAGGGTTGCCCTCTTTGGCCCTTACTAATTTCCTATCTATTGTAAATATTTGGGGTTAAGTTGGGTTAGTTTCATTTTATAGCCTCTTTCGGCAATAAAAAAAAAGTCGCCCAATAAAGATCTACTTTATGTGCACTGATGCTTTTTCCGAGGCAGAATCTGCTCTAGACATCCGAATTCCAGATTCAATAAAAAATATGGTAACCATAAATATCTACCAAGACGCTTCTCTTTTGGCCAAGCTTGATGACAACTTGTTATTAGAGATGGAAGAATTTGCAAGGAACGAACTGTCACAAATCCTCAGTAAGGAGGATCACCAAAAGTTCTATGGTCCTTTTACTATTAAACCCAATATATTCAAATTTATCGGAGGCCACAAGCAAATCATAAAAATGATCGCTAAATATTTCAAGGACAAACGATCCAAATCTAGGAAACGTCAAAAACCACAGGATGTAGCTGAACCAAATAGAAAAGCCCGAAAGACCAGTATGTTGACTAATGAAAAATCCTATGATATCGACCCAGAGAGTACTGCTAGTGCAAAGTGATAAAAGTTACTTTTCCACGAATTTGACTGAAGAAATTGCACAAATTTTGACAACTCTAAAAAAATGGGCTAAAACTAAATTTGACCAAGAGCAGTGGAAATCATTCTCACTAAGTTTTGACAACATTCAGATCAATACCAAAATTTCTGGAGACAATCTGTATTGTATAAGGTTTGTTCCAACCCATCAAAAAACCGTCCCAGAACAGTTTCGGAACTGTATACGAATTTCGGTTTCTACGCAAAAATTTTAGGTTTTGCGCAGAATCCTGACGGTAATATTACGGTTTCCTGCTGGGTTGGAACAAAGCTAATATAACATGTTTTTGCGGGAAGAATAATTATAAGAATTCAAAAAGTTACCAGAACAAATAATGAATCGACATTTCGAAGATGGATATAAGGCAACTTTCATTCCCATTTGTTGAAACAGCACCTTAGTACTGGTTCAAATCAGCGTTCATCAAAACCTGCCCGTACCATCCTTTCGTTTTTTAAACCAAAACAGACCAAAAATACTCAAGCAAATACTACTGAAATAGTAAATTTTACACAAGACTTTCCTCGACACATCCCTTTACCATCAGAACCATCAAGATTGGAATCACAAACCTTGCTACAAACTTCATCAGAACAATCGTGAAGTCCTAATGAACCAATTACAGATATTTCCGAGGATATTTCAGTCGACAACCCTTCACCAGACCTGTTGTTTATTCAAGTCAAACCAACTAAAAACTCTGATACTAGCAGAAAAATGAACAATTATAAGAGATATTGCCATACCAGGACCATCAGGACTAAACTCTATATCCTCGATAAAGGAACGAGCTACAGATGTTGAATCAAGTCCTGAACCATCCGAGAAATCATTTTGACACGATAATACTGGAATTCAAAAATGAAAAACTTTAAGGCGAATGCGAATGAAAAGGGCAAGAGAAAAAGGTCATTTAAATCAAAGTCTTATGACAGATTAATTTATGTTTGTAGAAAAAATCTGCAATTCTTTAACGCCAGATTTGACAGATACCATTGTTCAGAAATTAAAATGTGCAAACAAGTCAATAGAAAACCTATCACGAGACTCATCACCTAAATCCCGCGAGGAGCAAAACAGTACCTATTTTCATTTTTACGCAAACTTCTATCCAACGCGATGGAGAATTCAGGGAAAAAATTTAACAACTCATCTGATGAATTCACGAAGAAAGTAGCTCTTTATCTTTTTTACACTGCAGGGCGACTTGCCTACGAAACCTTATATTCAAATTTGAAAAGTAGTTTGCCATCGATATCAACACTTCATAGATTCGTTGAAAACAAAAGGACCAGACTAGAAGAAGTTAATTTCGATTTCAAAGGACTAAATTTATTTCTAGAAACGAGAAAACTTTCAAAGATAGTTTGGATGTCTGAAGATAGCAGGCGGGTTAGTGGAAGAATCGAATATGATCCTATATCCAACAAAGTGGTAGGATTTGTACTACCATTAAAAAATGGCCTGCCTGAGGAGAACACGTTTAGGGCATCGTCAGCAGCAACCATACAGCAGTATTTTGTTCGTGTTAAAGCGTCATATGCCTTCGTTATGGAAGCCCAACCCCTTGTTCCAGAAACACCATCATATTGTTTAAGTATGTTCGGTACTGCTAACAAATTTACCTATACAGATGTCTTACTGAGATGGAAAATCTTAAAAACTGAAGCAGAAAAATATGGGAGTACCATTGTTGGTTACTCATCAGATGGAGACACACGTTTCTCAAATGCAATGAGGTGCAAATTTGAGTGTTGATGCGAATACTCGTGTGAATATAAGTTCAAATTGGACATGGTATCATAATAATATGGATACAGGAGCAACAAATGACTGGTATTTTCAAGATTTCACACACATCATGACCAAACTGACAGTGAGATTATTGAATTGAATGATTGTGTTGAAAATGTTTAACAAAACAGCCTCGTTCGAACAGCTTGTTGAAATAGTAAACAGTGTATCAAAAGATAAGCATTTACTCGCAATGACTGATCTGAAATAGAAGGATAAGATGAACTTTCTAGCAAAAAAAATATGTGCTCCGAAGGATATTGAGCTCCTGATAAATATTCCTAACTCCGAAGGTACTGGCTGTGTTTCTGAAAATAATGAACTACATACATTCAGCTTTTATGAGTAGCACATTTAATTTAGAGGACAGGATATACAACGTGTAGTTTGCAGTGTTCTTCTTGAGAGCTTGGAGATCCTCAGTCCAAAAAAATAAAAACCAAACTTTGCGAGGCAATTTTCTGTCTACTAACAGGTATATTTGTGTGGAGCTGAATGCACACACATTAGTAAAGCTAGTAGGTACTCTTATTCAAATTAAAGGATATTGAAGGTGCGAATAGCGAAATGTTGAATTTAGCCAATATGAGTAGCCAGCCCTGCGAAAAATTGTTTAGGTCAGCGAGATCCTTGACACATAGAGTGGGTCGCATTCAAAGCATAAATGATATAATTACCGACATAAAATCAGAACTCTCATTTCCCCGAGAAGAAAAAAAAGATAGTTCAAAGCATGAAATAATGACAGATCAAGAAATAATGGGCTCTTTCACTAATTTTTGAAATTGGCATATTTGGATAAAGCAACTAAAAACAGAATTTTCTGTATTTTTACTTTTGAAAAATTCAAAGTCCTTCTTGAGAAAACAGAAAACAAAGAAATACCTCCAAATAAAAACCCAGAATTTATTTCTATGACGTCGCAGCTCGCAATTTGACCGTGTTGCCACTAATTGTCAACATTGAAAATTTGTAATAGATTTAATTCTGAAATGTTGGCAAAATCTCATGAAAAGTAGTTAAATTAATTAGTTATAGATTCAAGATTTTATAACATTTTTTTT